CTCTGCGTACTAAAGTTGTACTACCAAGTCGCCAGTTCTCATCTTCCCACTCCCCAGCTGCTCTGCGTACTAAAGTTGTACTACCAAGTCGCCAGTTCTCATCTTCCAGCTCCCCAGCTACTCCTCGTACTAAAGTTGTACTACACAGTCGCGAGTTCTCAGCTACTACCCACTCATCAGTTCTCATCTTCCCGCTCCCCAGCTACTCTGCGTACTAAAGTTGTACTACCCAGTCGCCACTTCTCATCTTCCAGCTCCACAGCTACTCCGCGTACTAAAGTTGTACTACACAGTCGCCAGTTCTCAGCTTCCAGCTCCACAGATTGCTCCGCGTACTAAAGTTGTACTACAAAGTCACCAGTTCTCAGCTTCCAGCTCCCCAGCTACTCCGCGTACTACAGTTGTACTACAAAGTCGCCAGTGCTCATCTTCCAGCTCGCCAGATACTCCGCGCCCTCAAGTTGTACTACCCACTCGCCAGTTCTCATCTTCCCGCTCCCCAGCTAATCCGCGTACTACAGTCGTACTAACAAGTCGCCAGTTCTCATCTTCCCACTCCCCAGCTACTCCGCGTACTACAGTCGTACTACCACGTCGCCAGTTCTCAGCTTCCAGCTCCCCAGCTCCTCCGCGTACTAAAGTTGTACTACAAAGTCGCCAGTTCTCAGCTTCCAGCTCCACAGCTTGCTCCGCTCGAATCGCACTCTCGCCTGCGTTTCGCGCGCTCGACACGCACGATCTCCGCAGAGGGTCGCGCGGTGATTTCACAAATCGGGCTCTCGCCTGCATTTCGCGCACTCGACACGCACGATCTCCGCAGAGGGTTGCGCGCGGACCGGACAAATCGCACTCTCGCCTGCATTTCGCGCACTCGACACGCACGATCTCCGCAGAGGGTTGCGCGGGCAGCCGGCAAATCGCACTCTCGCCTGCATTTCGCGCACTCGACACGCACGATCTCCGCAGAGGGCTGCGCGCGGACCGGACAAATCGCACTTTCGCCTGCATTTCGCGCACTCGACACGCACGATCTCCGCAGAGGGTTGCACTTTCGGTTGACGCTGTTCGTCCCGCCCTCCGCCTTTAAGAGAGAATTTATAAAGTGGGGAAATGTTTTTTCATTAGGACATCTCCCGTGCTAGTTTTCTATACTCACACTTGCCTACTCGTTGCATGCTTGCGTGCTCATTGCATGCTTGCGTACCTACTCATTGCATGCTTGCATGCTCATTGCATGCTTGCGTACCCATCACTTGCTTACTTACACTGCGTGCTTGCCGAGTGTCAGTGTGTATGTGTAAGTGTCAGTGTCGAAGTGTCAGTGTATGTAGTGCGAATGTGGTGGAAGTGTCAGTGTGTAAGTGTAAGTGTCGAAGTGTCAGTGTTCAAGGGATTTTCCGGAACCACCCTTCGCAATGCTTTCGGGAAAAACATCAAGGCTGATTCGCATTGCGCGCAAGGTACGAGTCCGGGTCTCTCTGCACCCTTCGCCCGCAAGTCTCTCTTCTTCGGGCGCGCTTCGGACCGTTTACCAACACACTACTCCAGGAACAAGGCCTGGTAAGCCAACACAGCAAGAGTGGTCATTCACCGAAGATCCCACCGTGTTTTCGCTGTCATGCTCTGCACAATCTCGAAGTCCGTCGGAAGAGTTGTTGCAGCATATTGAGTTCAGGGTAATAACTTTTCCCACGAATTCCGCTGTGAACCACTGTTGGATTGCAAAGAGAAAGGGCTCTAGTTGCGTCGCCGTACCAGTGTTTGTTGTTTTTATCCCGTCTGTGTGTGTGTAGCCTGACCAGTCAATAACATTATTTCACTTCGAGTGTTCCCCACCATGACACTTCAGTCTGAGAAGCTTCTCGGCATGTATTGAAACATTATTTCGGCATTCTTTCTGGCATATCTTCTGACATTCTTTCTGGCATATCTTCTGCATATCTTCAGACATTCTTTCTGGCGTTCTATCTGTGGGGGGAACACTGCCATCCGGAGCTGGTGGTTGAGGTCGGGGAACACTGCCGTCCGGAGCTGGCGGTTTGAGGTGGGGAACACGTGCATGCGAAGGGGATTTCAGAGCTGACCAAAAAAGAAAGGCACGAGCTCAAAGCCTTTTTGTGGACTACCTTCAATCCCTCGAGCAAACAAAGAAGCTCGCAAGCAAACGCCAAGACACTGCACCGTAAGCAAGCCAGTTGGACTGCGAGCGCGCTCAAGAACCTGCAGCAATGTCAGCATGCATCAGCTGCTCACAACCTTTTGCTTTTTGAAACCCTGAAAAAAGAACTGAGGACACTTGGTGTGAAAATGTGTCCAAAGAGTAAAGATTAGACTAGGGTCTCTGGATCTGCAAACTCTGGCCTCGTACAGTTTCTCAAGGTCCTGCTGCTTAGTCTCGCGACCTCAAGTTGCGCAAAGGTAGTGAGGTGATGACGCTGCATTTTGCCCGCCTGCTTCTTGCAGCTTAAGCAAAGGATGAATGAAGGCAGCTGAAAGCAGCTGAAGAAAGCTAGGCTAGGCAGTCAGCGTTTGTTCATGGTCTCGTCCAATCTCTTGATCCAACGTTCCTGGCATCTAGAGATTGGATGGCTACGTTTTTGTTTTGCGCTCCAGCCTCAATGTTGAAGTAGTCGCCCAGCTCTCGAATATCAGGATCGATTTTTTCATCATCTTTTTCCACGGGTGGCCCCTGCCAAACTTGCTTGCAAATGAAGGGCTCTGCATGCTGATGCTCATGTTGATGCTTCTGTTTCTGGCCAAACCTGATGCTTCTGGCCTTGCTTCCGGTTTTTGCTGGCTGAATCGTTCGCATTCAATCTTGAAAGTGAGCGACTCAAGGAAAGAAACGACAAGGAAAAAGGAACACAACAAACATGGCCACAACAATGCACAAACGCAGAGCGCAGGCAGCGAAAACATCAAAAAACATGGACTGGTTGGTCATTAGCTTCATTTAGGCTTGCCTCCAAACTATATTGAGGACAAGGAATCCACAACGATGTATATATATATGTATATTTATTTATGTATTTCTTTATTTATGTATTGGGTTAGGATTCAGGATGGTGTCCTGTTGCGGAGGTAACGCCCACGCTTTCCAAACGCAAAGTTGGCTGGGCAATGCTGCGCGTTGGAAGATTGAATCATATTGAATCGTTCTCCCAGCGCATCATCCACTACGAGTCGGCCGCGGCAGCCGCAGCAGATACAGTGAAGGCGATGTAAAAATTACGAGTAGCAGTTGTAAAAACGGGAACTAAAAGCACCAAGAGCACTTAGTAAGGCTGCAAAAGGACAAAGTCATGCAAAGTCAAGAGCAAAGCGCTGCAAACAAATTTGAGTCCGCCTCGAAAGGCCCAGCTGGGGATCATTGAACCGTGGCAAAGAAGAACGAACCGAACTTACAGCACCTTCAAACTCTTCCACCGTGAATTTGCCCAAGCTTGCACTAGTCCACTGTTTCTCTAGCCACAACACAACCAACAAGCACGCCACCTTCTCATATGGGTTGGCGAGAGGCACAGTTTGCGGCTGAGCTCTGAGCAATGAACAAATGATAGGAGCCTCGCATCTAGTTTAGACTCGGTGATCGCTAAAACCGCAAGAAAGAAAAAAGGTCAGCATAACTCCATCTTGCGACCCACACTGAAAAGTATGCAGGAATTTTACGCGCGGCAATGGTGGGCCTGCAATTTGTAGAAAAACTGTTGCGAAGCAGATCTGTTTGTCACTTGCCACAACTTAAAGTACCAACAAATGCCAGACTAGCCAACTATGAAAGCAAGCATGTGGCACTTACATATTGCATTGCACCGTGCAAGATTGCGCGTCGAAAACGTTGTCCAAACACCCTTGGAAGGTAGGGTTAGAAATCTGCCAAAAAAAAGAACACAAAAAGCAAAACGCGCAAAAAGGTGCACAGGTCAACTTGCTTTCGAGAAACACCCCTTTATCTTGGCACGGACAAGCCCCTGCACAGCGCACGAAATTGCAGCGGCCTTCCTCGAGCTTGTAGACCCACCAACGGTCCTGGACGGATGTCCAACCCTCATTCAATATTCCAATGTGAATGTGAACCAACCGTCAAGGGGCACAACCACGCGGGTTCCAAGTGTAAGCTGCTGTGACACCAGAATAACTAGGGAAGTGGCTCTGGCTGCATCCTCCAACAGAGGTTTGAAAACCATTCACTGAATTGGCTTGTCGACATGCCACAAAGAGACTCAGCGCCAGGCGCTCCACCCATAGGGTTTGCTGAGCTGCCTTGCCCTGAGTCAACGCAAGCAAGGGGTGATGTTGTGACTTAAGCCCAGCAAATATGGGCCTCCTCCCATCTGCTTTTGGGCCTAGACTTGCTTTACAGAGCTCAGTCAGTGTCCAAATGTTTCAGGTATGCCCATCATCTGAGCCATTTGCCATCTGCATCATGTTTGCCATCATCATCATCCTCACTGCGACAATGTTTTCTACTTTCACTGATACAGAAACCCAACAACTTCCCCCCGTTATTTTACAAACAAAACGAGGCAGTGGAACAAGACCCTCTAGCCCACCAGCTGGACAGCAATTAAACTTTGTCAATCTTGCTCAAGTGTTGCGCCAACGATTTGATTTGCCAAGCAAACAAACAGGCCAACCTTCCCTTGAGGGCATCTCAAAACTGGGCAACACAGCCACAACCACATACAAAGCGCACAGCGCCGCACAAACATCTGGCATATCACGTCCACATTGATACAGGTGTGCTGATACAGGTATTGCGACACAGGTGTTGAAATACAGGTGATGCAGGTGTTGACATAGAGGTGATAAAATGTGTTGAAGTACAGGTGATACAAATGTTGAGATGCAAGTGGTACAGGGTTTGAGGTACAGGCGATACAGGTGTTGAAATACAGGCGTTAAGATATCTACGTGAAAACAGCTACAAAATTCATCTACACAGCTACAAAGTCGAAATCTTTATATATATCTGCTGTAATTACTCTTAAGGCGCCGGGGTGGCTGGGCCGATACTCACCAAACGCAACCTCCTGCGGAGATCCCGGTGCGGAGATTGCGCGCGTCGAGGGCTCAAGCGTGAGGCGAAATGCGAAATTGAGTTGTCCTTGGTGAGCCCTCCGCGGAGATCGTGCGCGCCAAGTGCTCAAACATGAGGTGAAGCGCTAACCTTGCTATCAAAGCGCGCAACAGTCGTCGAAAATCGGCATGGCAGCCAAAGTGCATAACTGAGCAGTCGATCATTTTCCAGTTTTGCTGATAGACATCCAGAATCCGGTTTGCGGCGCAACACTGACTCCACGAAGGGCAAGTTCTACCACAGAGTTCGACATTGTCGACGAAGGAAAAAGCCCCACATGCCCTTTGCTTGTAAGCTTGCCGCTTGTGAGATCGACGCCTCAACGCGCCAGCAGTGATACGGATTGCGAAAGTGCCAGTGGTTGACGATCATCATCGACGAGAACTGATAGTCACCACAAGGACTACCCGTAGAATTTTTTTCAGCAACCAAGTCTTGTCCAGTAGACACCAAACTGCTGGAAGATGAACGCCGGACCTTCTTTGAGAAGAAGAGTGGACAGCAAGACAAAGAAGGTTGACAACTTGCGAAACGCAACATGGAAGGACCTGCAGCTTGGCTGTGACTGGCGTGGCAAGACAACGTTTAGATTCCACATTTAAAGATTACGGATGCCAAGAGAGAGGCGCGTGGCACCATGCGCTGTGGGCACCATGATTTTGCTTCGCAGATCTTCTTCAAGCAAGTTCTCAGAAGCGCTACGGCACCACTAAAAACGCAACACCCAAGGAGCTCCATTCCAAATCAGGGCTCACGCTGATGAACCCTTCAAAAGGTGGAAAGAAAAGAAAGTATTTCGGGAAACTCTGCAAATGGGCTAAACCTTCCGACCTAAGATCAGTGGTAGGCTTCTGATTGATAGAGGGTGCAACCGTTCCTGAGTCTGGACAGTTTGCGCCATCCCGCAGACCGATCAAAAACAAACGGCCTCAGCAGCTCCTGACACCCAACCTCGCCACGCAACAACATGGTGACCTGTATTCTGAATCCATACATCGAGCCCGCAAACGGTTGCCTTGGGCTGCATGTGTGAGCTATAAAAAGAATCGCGCCGGAAGCAAAAAGGTTTCATTAACTCCTTGTTCAACAGCTGCGGCGTAGCCCTACCCTTCACAAGAGCCCCCACACCAGCCTGCGAGTCGATTCCAACCAAAAACCGCTTGCGGTCGCAGCGCTGAGCCGGGCTGGGCTCCTCCATCAAGCGTGCTCTTTGGTGTGATGTGACTTGGTTTCAATACAAGTTTCCGACATTTCTCAATTTAGTGCGGGCGTCTGCCCGGGTACAGTATATAGCTGCTAGCTCTCCACCAGGATCCAAAACGCCGTGCGCCCTCAGCCACGGCCACGCCTGCTGGCAGCACCTTTGACCAGCGGCCTTTGCGAAGCCCGCGTCTGCTGACCTTTGGCGTTGGCGCCGACGCTTGAATGGCGCAATCCAATTGCGGGAGGCATCTGTAGCGGTGACAGGTGGGATGTACTCAGCCCTGAGGTTGCACGCTGCAAGAAGCCCCAAAAGCAGCGACCACAGCTCACTCGCGAGAAAAGAAGTAACACCGTCGAAAAATAGTGGTTTGGTCTGGAATCGCGTATGTTGCCTCAGAGAGCATGCTCATCGCACACAACAATCACCTCCTCGCTGTAAACAATGCTTCCCATGAACCTGCTACTTCTTCGAACAAGGGCGCCAAACAAATGCCCAACGTAGCCACTCTAGCGGTCACCACCCTAAGAGGCCACAACCGCAAGGTGAAGCCACGAAGCATGCCCTTTTCTCCGTCCAGCCCAACGCCCCAGAGACGAGCTGCTCCTTCTTGAATTTACCTCCAACCAGTTCTGTTTGTAGGTAGTCAAGGCTTTGTCAAGTCTGGCGCCTGCCTCTGAGCCGGCTAGTTTCGCACGCACACAGCCGCACTGACCCTTCTCCAACAAAAACAGAGATTGATCACGCCAACACCCATCAATCCCCCTGAGACCTCTCCCTGCAGCGATCATCTCATCCTCCTGCAGAACTCCCGTCCAAAGCATCATGGATAGGCGAGCGTTGAGCAAGCTCACCAGCATTAAGGTCACCCATGGCCAGCGGGTGAAAAAAAATGATCAGCGGCTTCACTCGGCCGAACAAGTGCCCCAATAACCAAAAAGAGCTTCCCTCCTCCTTTGTCCATGGGTCAGCAAGAGCATTGCGAGTAACCCAGTCAAAAACCAAAACTACCGGAAGCTCTGCGATAGCGCCTTGCAGGTCAGCCAACTGGGATCTGGCGGCGGTCAACAAACTGACTGTCTGACTGTGCAACCTGTGAATCTCACCTCGCAACAAATCAACTTGCTCCTCAAATTGCCCAAATTCAGTCAAGGAGGGATGGTTGCTTGGCATCAACCAGCACGACTTCTAGAGTCGTCGAGCTTGCTGGCTTGGAGCAGCCCTTGCCGCTAAGACACAAAAAATCTAAGACCGAACGACCTTTCTTTCCTCTTTGCAATGATCTGACACCGAGGCACAACTTGGTTGGTCCCCAATGCAGGAACAATTTACAGCGAGAGAACACGAATGCTCGGAAGGCACGAAGGCAAGAAACTAAGGGCGTGGCCGAACGAAAGCAAAGCTGGTTGCGGATTCAAGTACATCAAGGTGCTTAACTACGAATTTGATGTCGTCAACGTAAAGGACAAATCGTTCAGTGTTTGCTTTGTGCTGGTCAGCGTGTTCTGAAGCCAGCGTGCAGCATTGAGGCCACCTACAAGTGACGGCCGGGACTTCACTGCAGAAAATCCTAACCTGCGCGCTGACAAAGCCTTGGCACAATATGCGAAAGGCATGGCCATGACCCGTTTGCGAACAAGCATTTTGAAAGAAATTGTAAGGTGCTAGTGTCCCGTCCCAAAGTGGGAGAGACATGATACACAAGCGGCTTGTGTTTTGAAGCGTGCCTAGCAGCGACCCCACACTTCTTAGTTCCGGGAATGTACAGTGTACGTGCAGCGCAATGAAGACGATTTCCAATTCACACCAAGGGATGTCGTTTTCAGGACAAACAGGCTCGCCATGAGGCCAGCGCAGCAAAATCACCCATTGCAGTAAGGCATCAATAAACGCAGTTGGCCAGTTGTCTTGTGCTTGACAGACCTGGTCGCGTTTTTCCCAGTCGATGTTAAGAACAAGTGCATTGTCTGTAGACATGAGAGGGTTAGGTGAAAACTTATTTTCCTTATCTTCGGTGAGTGAAAAACGATGGTTCGCTGCGGAAATCAAGAATTTGTGATAATTATGCAAACGAGCTCGTTGGTCAACGAATTGTTTCCAAACAGGGCCAAGATGGAAAGACCACGGATCCAGGTGCCAAAACGAAGCTGGCCCAGCGATATCTCGGGCCAAATCCATGCTTGGCCGTTGAGACTCAAAAGAGATGGTGAACATATGTCTTGCATGAATAAAACCGTGATACAGACCAGCTGAGCATTAGAAGTGCCTTGCTTTGTAAGGATCCCAACTTTAGAAGCTCTGAATCATTCAGGAGTCAACGCTCGAAACTATGCAAATTCAAGGCGTTCACTACCCCACCCCAATCATCGCCGCTCTGCGTGTTCTTTATATATAAGCAAAGGACCCTGGATGTCAGCATACCAGCATGCGGGCGATATGATGTATGGTTTAAGCACACAATATGGTCGATATGAAGTACGGGCCGGCTGTCATCATACTGTAGATAAAAGGAGCTGTTCATGATAGAAGACCTTGCTGGATGCTTTGAAGAGAAGCAAAAGCGAATAGAAGAAAACGTGTGAGCCAAGCTTCATCATTGGGTTGCACCCTGGCATCACGCCACCTTGCACCCCCATCATTCCAGGCCTGCCGGCTGGCATCGTGGTCTAAAGTCTGAATAAAGATACCTTAAAGCGTTTAATAAGTAAAGAGATGCAGCCTCAAGCAGACACCAAAAAAAGCCCAAAGCTAATAAGTAGAAATATTCCTCATAGCTCGGGGAAATGTTGAAAGCCTAGATGATCAGGAATCAGGTCACCTACCCCAAGACAAAAGCTATGACCTTGTAGAGTATGTTGTCAATTTGATCCTAATATATAATTGTTGTCTGTGCTCGAAGCATCTTGTTGTTGGTGCTTTCGACAGAGAGCAAGGTCGACTTACTTGTTGTAGCCTTAGCTTCCTGTTCCAATGTCACGAAGCTTGCTAAGCTCTTTCAAGAATACTGGGGGGTACTCCACGGAATTGAGCAACCGCTTCTGCTTGGATTACTCCACTCTCCTTTGCTAGATATTCTTCAGTCTACAGTCTAATTACATCCCACATGCTGGAATTAGAGCGTTTGAAGCATGCGCTCAGCTACTTGCAGAGCAAAATCTCCCTCAGGCTCTTATCCTCTCCACAGGCAACTGAGTGTGCATTTCAAGTTCTAGATGTTGGAAATTAGCCCCGTTAAGAAGCTGCCAGCCCAGTTCAAACAACGTTGCGGCAGAAAAGAAAAAGACTCGGTTGAAGAGTTGTCCTGCCTCATGCCCATCATGGGACATCCTCCAGGGCACCCACATCCGGCACCACCTGGACAGCCTTGACAGCCACAGCATCCTGGTCCAGCTGGGCACACAGGGCCTGGATTTAAACTGTTTGATCCTCCATGACAGGATGGAGAAGAGAGGCAGCTGGGACATGCAAGGCAACATCCACCGCATCCTGAGCCACATCCACCTGAGAGCCAATGTCTCGAGTTAGAGCAGCAGAAAATGTGTAAAAACATGAATCCACGGTTCCGATGCGATGTGTCTCGATCTGTTGCGTTTCCATTCTAAACATGCTCAAATGTAGTCGGTGCTCGTCTTGGCCTGCCATACCCCCCATGTTGGGCATTCCAGGCATTGGGCTTATGCCTTCAGGATTGCATTCAAGTTTGTGGTCCAAAACCCTCCCAGTTCTGAGGACGCGGCCATCTGTTCCCATCCCACGATCAACAAAGAAAAACGGCAAGTTGTCCGGACATTCTCAGCAAATGTTGTCGCCACGTTTTGTCGAGAAGAAACCTCAGATCAAGCAACCTGACTGACACATTGAAGAAACATTGATTGGACATCTGGCCTGGGATCATTGAGCGACAGCAGGAGCAGGAGCTTTAGCCGAAAACAGCGCTGACATCGTTGCAAAGAACTGAGAACTGAGAAGGTCTGATGAAATGTCAGCATTTGCGAAAAGCTTCAGTCAACCCCAAAGGTCGGGCCTAGATCTACGCAAAATCCGCTCGTCATAAAGTACCTCGTCAATGTCGATGGTTGTGCCTTTTGGTTCACTGCGGGTCTGGGACAGCCTCTCTGCATATCCTTGAAAGAATTGCATATGATGACACTGTTTCTTTTCAGTTGTTTGAGGCACTCGTCCGTACAGTTCACTGACAGCGAGGAGAGGTGAGCGAACGGCTCCAGTCGCACGCTTTCCATATGGCCAGACCTTCACATAAATGCGACCAGTGACTCACTCACTCACTCACTCACACACACATACACACATGAACATGAACACACATCCAGACAGGAAAACGGTTCCGGTCATTGTGGCCACATGACCTTCCGATACAAAGGCTAAGTTGACTGTAGTACGCAACGAAGCCTCACTGGTTTCAGTGGGACACAAGACATCAGACATCTATATAAAGAAAAGCTGTTGAAACTGCAAGAACTTGCTAGATACCAAGATTAGCAAATATGTTGAATCCAATCAATTTGCAACGCATGCGGCATGCCATTATTCCAAACAATCTTCTACCAGCAAACCCAACTCCAGTTGTTTGGGAAACCTCTCAAGGTTTCGGGGGTCACTAGGACGAGATTCCAAGGAGGAGCCAAGTTGGATTCCGCCGGCTGGCCTGTTGTCGTCATAATTGACAAGGCATGTGGTGCCTGACTGCGAGACTCCACATACTGCCTGGAGACGGAAACTCAAAACAAGAGGGAAAACGCATTTAGAACCAAAATTCTCAGGATTGCAGGCGTTTCTGTTGCAAAAGGTCGCTGAGGCAGATTCCCACTGTGGGTGTGTATGCAGCCAAGACAATCCCAAAATGGGATATGAGTCCACCTGAAGCAGCACGCGCCACCAAAGAAGAACCAGCAAACAAAAGCTTGGAGCTATGATATGAAGTGCCTCAAGCTTATGGGTTGTGGTGTCATCCTGAAGGTGCAGCAATTCTGGAGCATCGGTGACAACTTGCGCAAAAGCCGCTGGGATATGTTTTGGCATCTACTGATCTACTGAGCCGGTTCTTGGTTGTCGCATGGGTCCAACTTCCTGGTTACGGTTTAAAAATAAGCTACACAGGCGAGGTTTGTTCCACGCAAAGTTCGAGTTCAAGCATATAGTATATAACTTCTCAAGTGGACCTTTTTCTCCACATTCGTTGGAGGGTGCACAAGCTGCTGCTTT